TGTGCCCAGAGGGAGCGTTTTATTGATATGCCAGGAAGGATGGAGGGGAACAGGGATAAGCTTCTGAAAGTACCATAAACTGAAACTCAATTGCCTATTAATGTTAACGTTGACTCGCTCTGATTCAATGAATTGCGTAATCGTCACCGTGAAACCGTCAGACGAAGATGACAGCTATGAAACTGACATTTATGACGAAAGTTTCATATTGCTCTCAGAGGGAGAGTTCGAGTGATGCAGAACGTGAGGGATCAAATCAAGTAATTTACAACGTTGACTATCTGCCAATGGCATAAATTAAAACTCGCACTGCCATCACAATGGCATTGTAATGAGAAATTTGCTAGTGCTACGACGGCATCGTAGTTCAATCACAGAGAGCCAGTCCTAGTTATAATGTAGCAGTCTACGTCCAAACAGCCGGGCCAAAACTTTCTATTCCGAAACTAGGTAGCGTGAAGAAGAATGAGGCAATTTGAAGGGAAGGACTCCAGCATCTCTTGCGCTTTCAAAAATGATGTTTTTTGTATAACTCATACTTTGCCTGTAAGCCCGGATTCGTATCTGGAAGATTTTAGCGGCATTCTGATCCACAAATATCATTATGTATACCGGCGTAATATTTGCCCTCTTGAAGCTGAATCACATAAACTCTGTGTGTTTTGACATCGTCACTTTGAGGACATCTTTGGTTTGCAATGTCCGCTTCATTTCCAGCTGTACTATAATTTGCCATTTGCCACCGGTCACTTCATCTCAGAAAGAACAGTTCCTCTCCAAAAACAGACCTGCTATTGCCTTGCTCCTTCAGGGGCTATGCGAACCTCCTTGTAGAGGTGTGCCGTGTGTCTTCCCTCACATGAGAAACTCGCCAGCTGCAGTTAAACTTTATGATCAGTCAGTTTTTCTAACGGGATCAACTTCTTTTTCTCAATCTTCTCGTATGTTATGAATATCTGTGCTCAGAATACGACAGATTAGTAAGGAACGGGATTCTGACTCTTAAACCTCATTTTTTGTCGAAGACTACACAATTTGACAGTCGTCCTTTGCCCGTTAACAATTGTTTATATGTCTCTAAACCTCATTAAGCCAACTGAAACGAAATAGAGGAAGATTTGGAATTGGTTCCTTTCCAGATATTTGATCGGTTGCTAAAAGTGCTTGAAGCAAGGACAAGATCCACTATTTCGCGCCCAGTGAATTGTCCTTTTGCTAGAGACGATTAAACCGAGATATGTAAATTGACTTCTATCGTTTTCCTTTTCTGTTTCACTGATAAATCAGCCGCTGATTCCTCAAATTTGAACCTCCGGGCACAAAGGGTCAGTCAGGCTTTCGCGGCTCGGAAAAGTGCTGCATACGGAAGCCTTCAGGTGGCAGAACTCACTTCCCATACTATTTACCAGGACAATATCATCTGCGTACTCAAGATCAGCAAGATATCTAGCCGAGCATCTTGAAATGAGCTTTACTCTGGAGTGAGTCCTTCCTCTTTTCCAGGATCTGCACTATTTCAGGAAAGACTATCGACAACCATGCTTAATTGCAAAGGGAAGGCACCTCTCACGGAAGACTCCACAGTTGGAAGGCTGCCATTCCGATAACCTTCGTTCAAATTCTACAGGAAACATAGTTCCCACATGCACTTCATCCAAAAGAAAAACGATGTTCTCAGGTATGTCATAGTATTTCAAGAATTTTCCCATTGTCGAACATTGCAGTGATTCAAGTACAACCTCATAGTCGAGGATGAACTTAGCAGACCAAAGCAACTGGAATTCTCTACATTGTTCAACGAACTGTGAAGAGTAAAAGTTTGGTCATGGCAGAATTTAGCCATCCGCGAATCTGCTTGAATTTGACAGGATCTGCTGCCAATTGCCTGCCTCCAAACTTTCGACGGTAATCCAGGAGAATAGTTTTCCGTGAGTTGACAGTAGTAATAATATGATAGTTTGAGTACTCGCTTGCCTGACTTCCATTAAATATGAGGAGGGAGCAATTATTCCCTCACAGTCCACGGAAAAGTTTTATGTTCCATATTCAGTGAAATAGAGCATGGAGCCTTTCTACCATTCTCGTTCCCCCGTAACTCCGAAAGAATTAGAGCTCCCGCAGGCCTTCTTCACTTTGAGTTTAGCAGGGCTTGTTCGAGTTTTGGACTTGTGAGTGGAACTGAATTAAACACTAGCGTTTACGGACAGTTAACCGATGAAAATGATGAATATGAAGAACAGCTGTTGAGCAGCTGGTGGAAATTCTCAGTCAATCTTTTAAGGGATTCTTCTTTATCTACCAATTCCAAACCCATGGTTTCTTGGATAAGGGCAGTTTCTAGTTATTGGGAAGCTGTCAAATTCTTGGAACATTGCTACTTTGTCACTCTTTCTGGTTGCCTTATCAATCTTCCCAATTTCACCCTCCTGCTAAGATCCCTCCCTGCCTGTAATTCTGGTTTACAGCACGAATTGGCTGCCTGTAAAAGTATAGAAGGCTTTGCAAGTACTCCTTCTTACCTGATTCTTCTGTTACCTAATGAATAACACGTTCTCTTTGCCCAGTACAGTTTGACTCTCCTCCTCCTGGCTCAGACTACATTCCTCAGTGAAAAATAATGACGCAGTCTTTGAAGTGTATGAAGGTTTCGTCGACGTTTCCATCTCTTGACATGGTGCATGATACTAAAATAATTCCATACCTCTTTCTGTTATGCTAATCGCGCGCTTCCTCATATTTTAGCTTGTAAACATCGAGAAGCCTGTGCGTTTCAAGTCGAGAAGCTCGTTGTGACACGGCTATTTGTTGAACCTTGATGAAGATTGGATACGGCCATATGTTGATCGGATTCAATATAGGCTGTACACATGATGCGATTCTGCAATAAAGAGTTTCGCTATTTGCAGCTGACGAGGACGTAGTTCAGCTGGCACTTTTTGTCCCCTGCGGGGAACGTCTGTGTAGTTTAATAGTTTTATTTACCAGGGAATATGGTTCAGCCAAGACTTAAACTGTTTCTCTTGTGAAATCACTATTTACTCGAAAATCCATAACATGAGGGAACAGCCTCTATAAATTCCTTAGCCCTATAAATGTATACCAATGCTTTATTCTTTATGAGTTCTTACAAGCAGTGTGTCACTGAGAGTTTCATGAAGATGCTGTCGTGCTTTTCCTCTCATCAGAAAAAAAAATGTATAAATTATCTCCATTAAATTTTTGCTGCATATACTATAACATATGACAGACTTAGTAATCATTGAAATAGTTTTTCTAATTTCTGCATTTATTGTTGAGTTTAGACATTCTTCTTTAGTTGACCTTCACCTGCTCTATCAGTTAAAATAATGCACAAGTTTGCTTAACCGACAAGATATATTCCGTATCCATGGCAAACAAGGTGGTAACGAGCGGGTGATAGATTTTGTGTTGTATACGTCGAATATACAGGACAGTTATGATTGTCAACTTGGAACTTTCTCGTGTATTAGACTGCGTAAGTACGTGTGTGCGAAGGTTACCACTCGCCATGTGAAGGAGTCGCCTCCGCTTCAGGTCTTTCTGCATGAAACAGGAATTACCGTTTGAATCGGGTTTAACGTGCTACACTACCATTGGCACGTTCGTTGTTTACACCGCAGTGTTCATCATCTTTCACCATTAGTTGTTTCAGTAGCAATATGACCAGTAGTATGACACCGGGTACAAATATGGTACCTAGTTGTGTGAAGCGACGTCGATTGTGCCATTCTTGTGACCTACAGTCAAAGGAGGACAGACGGGAGGTAGTTTTTTGTTGACGGCGGAAACCGGTGCGCGATCGTTTTATATAGTCGAAGAAGTGCTTTGCCAAATGACTATAATTCTTGCAGTTTAGGTAATGGTTCATTCGAACGACTTATCGAGTACTTATCATTTTAGAAACTAAGACAACGATTTCGTCGCAAGACGCTATAAATCACTGGTCGTCGAAGGGGCTGTTCTGATGCGCAGGAGACGAGAACGATCACGGTCTCGTTTGCGGAGAGGAGCAAACTTTTTCGCACGAAAACCGTCCATCTCATCTTAATTGTGTGCATACAATAGAGTGGAGGTGTAGTCATCTGCGGTCATTTAGTTATGAAATGAATGAGTAAAATAACTCATTATTTGGCACACATCCATCGTTGGAGAACCGTGCTCAAACGAGGGGTGTACGGCTGTCGACGGTGACACGTTCAAGACGTTATGTTATAAGTGCCGGTTGCGTTTCAGGTTGGTCGCCTGTGACAGGCGGAGCGAGAAACGACGACGACGACAAGACAAGACAAGACAAAGCACACACAACAGGGGCTGAGGGTGAAGCAGCGGCGGTGGAGGAGAAAGAGGGAACAGCGGCAGCGCAGGAAGTTAGGTGACTC